GCTTGCACTTAAAAAAAAATTGATTTGGCTGGGCCAGGTTTTAGTTGCAGGGTGTCTAGTTGCAGCCTGTGGGATCTCTACTTGTGGCATGCTAACTCTGAGTTGCAGGACCAGCCCGGGGCATCCTTTGCTGGGAGCAAGGAGTCTTTAGCCACTGGATCGCCAGGGAAGTCCTCGCTTATGCTTGTGGTGGCATACTTAAGAATCTTTTGCCAAACCCACAATCATGAAGATTCACTCTGGTTTTTCCCTAAGTGTTTTATAGTTGTATTTCTTACATTTAGACTTTTGATCCATTTTTTTAATATTCTGTAAGGTAAGTATCCAACTTGGTGTTTTGCATGTGGTTATCCAACTATCCCAGCACCATTTGTTGAAAAGACTACTCTATCCCTATTGTCTTTGCATGCCCTCAAATATCGCTTGACCATAGGTGTGTGGGTTTATTTCTGGACCTTCAGTTCTATTCCATTGATCTGTATATTTATTCTCTGCCAGTACCAGTGTCTGGATTACTGTTGCTTTGTAGTAAGTTTTTTTCTTTTTTTGGTAGTAAGTTTTGAAATCTTACTGTTTTGCTCTTCTTTCAAGGACAAGAATGACCTATTCTGGGGTCCTTGCAATTCCATATGAATTATAGAATCAGATTGTCAATTTCTACAAAGAAGTCCACTAGGTTTCTGATAGAGAGTGCATTGAATCTGTAAATTAAGGAATATTGCCATGTTAACAATGTTAAGTTAATCATGTGCATGAGATGTTTTTCTAATTATTTAACTCTTCTTTATCTGAACAGTGTTCTATAGCTTTCATGGTATTTGTTCCTCAGTCACGAAGTTGTGTCCAGCTCTTTGCAGCCCCATGAACTGCAGCACATAGGCTTCCCTGTCCTTCACTATCTCCCAGAGATTCTTCAAACTCATGTCCACTAAGTTGGTGATGCCATCCAACCATCTCATCTTCTGCATTCCCTTCTCCTCTTGCCCTTAATCTTTCCCAGCATCAGGGTCTTTTCCAATGAGTTGGCTCTTCCCATCAGGTGGCCAAAGTGTTGGAGTTTCAGCTTCAGTATCAGTCCTTCCAATGAATATGCAGGATTGATCTCCTTTCGGATTGACTAGTTTGAACTCCTTGTTATCCAAGGGACTCTCAAGAGTCTTCTCCAGCACCACAATTTGAGTGAATCAATTCTTTGGCACTCAGCCTTCTTTATAGTCCAACTCTCACATGCATACATGACTCCTGGAAAAACTATAGTTTTGACTATACAGATCTTTGTCAACAAAGTGATGTCTCTGCTTTTTAATATGCTGTCTAGGTTTGTCATAGTTTTTCCTCCAAAGGTAAGGCATCTTTTAATTTCATGGCTGCAGTGCTTGTCAACAGTGATTTTGGAGCCAAGAAAAATAAAATCTGTCACTGTTTCCCCATCTATTTGCCATGAAGTGATGGGGCCAAATGCCATGATCTTAGTTTTTTGAATGTTGAATTTTAAGCCAGGCTTTTCACTCTCCTATTTCACCCTCATCAAGATGCTCTTTAGTTCCTCTTCACTTTCTGTCATTAGAGTGGCATCATCTGGGCCTTATTATTTATTTTTCTGGTGATTGGTTGGATTATTTTAGTGAAGACTGTCTGCTACACCCCCACCCTCCCACCTCCCCACCAGTGGTGAGTGCTGTGCTGAGGGAGACACAGCCCTGGGGCCACACCCCGCTGTTAAACTCCACCAATTGCCGAAGTAGATGTTTTTCTGGAACTCTCTTGCTTTTTCTATGATCCAATGATTGTTGGCAATTTGATCTCTGGTTTCTCTATCTTTTCTAAATCCAGCTTGAACATCTGGAAGTTCTAGGTTCACGTGTTGTTGAAGCCTGACTTGGAGAATTTTGAGCATTACTTTGCTACTGTGTGAGATGAGTGTAGTTGTGCAGCAGTTTGAACATTCTTTGCCATTGCCTTTCTTTGGGATTGGAATGAACACTGACCTTTTCCAGTCCTGTGGCCACCGCTGAGTTTCCCAAATTTGTTGGCATATTGAGTGCAGCACTTTCACAGCATTGTCTTTTAGGATTTGAAATAGCTCAGCTAGAATTCCATCACATCCACTAGCTTTGTTTGTAGTGAGGCTTCCTAAGGTTTAAGAGGAACTAAAGAATGTCTTGATGAAGGTGAAAAAGAACAGTGAAAAGGCTAGCTTAACACTCAACATTCAAAAAACAAAGATCATGGCATCTGGTCCCATCACTTCATGGCAAAAAGATGGGGAAACAATGGAAACAGTGAGAGACTTTATTTTCTTGGTTTCCAAAATCACTGCAGATGGTCACTGCAGCCATGAAAATAAAAGATGCTTGCTCCTTGGAAAAGAGCTATGAAAACCTAGACAGCATATTAAAAAGCAGCGACATCACTTTGCTGACAAAGGTCATCTACTCAAAGCTATGGTTTTTCCAGTAGTCACATATGGATGTGAGAGTTGGACCATAAAGAAGGTTGAGCACCAAAAAATTGATGAACCATGGTGTTGGAGAAGATTCGAGTCCCTTGGACTGCAAGGAGATCCAACCATTCAATGGTAAATAAAATCAGTCCTGAATACTCATTGGAAGGACTGATGCTGAAACTGAAGCTCCAACACTTTGGCCACCTGATGCAAAGAACTAAGTCATAGAAAAAGACCCTGATGCTGGAAAGATTGAAGGCAGGAGGAGAAGGGGATAACAGAGGATGAGATGGTTGGATGGCATCACCCACTCTATGGACATGAGTTTGAGTAAACTCCTGGAGTTGGTGATGGACAGGGAAGCCTGGTGTGCTATAGTCCACAGGGTCGCAAAGAGTCGGACATGACTGAGCAACTGAACTGAATTGCCAGCTGACTGCTCTACTGATTTCAACAATCCTCTGGGCATAACTTCCTTTAAAACTTATCCAATCCAGTTCCGGCCTGTCTGACACAATCTTTTTTTTTTTAAACTGGAGTATACTTGCTTTATAATGCTATTAATTTCTGCTGTACAACAACAGTGTATCAGCTGTAAGTACACACACCCCGTCCCTCTTGAGCCTCCCTACTGCCCGCCCCATCCCACCCCTCCTGGTCATCACAGAGCATAGACTGAGCTCTCCTGTGAGCTATTTACACATCATAGTGCATATAAGTCAATGCCACTTTCTCAATTCATCATGCCCTCTCTTCCCCCCCCCCCCCCATTCCCATAAGCCTCTTCTCTATGTGTCTCTATTTCTGCCCTGGAAATAGGTTTGTGTGTACCATTTTTCTGGATTCCATATATATATACATTAATATATGATATTTGATACAAGCTTTTCTGCGTTGGTGTTTCATGTTCCCACCCCATGAGGGCTCCCCTGGTTTTCTGATTCCCTGGTTCTGTCCTGTGAACCAGCCTCCAGCTTGGCCTTATCTCGAATCTCCTCCCGAGTATCCACCACTACCTCATGAAACTTGAGAACTTGCGTTTGAACTTTTCCACAGGATGTTGCAAACAGAGTCAGTCCTCTGGGAAGAGATTAGAAGCGATCTGGTGTTCTGACTGCTCATCCCCCTGCCCCCCAGTCTCTGAGCTGTGACTTTGGAGCCGGCGGGGAGGACAACGGTAGACGTTTCCGTGATACCCCTGCTCTAGGAGCTCAGTGGTGGGGCGCCAGCCTGGGGTCCTCTCCGCCATCTCTCCTGGTGAGAACCACTGCCCCACAGCTGGGGAAGTGACCAGCAGCCCAGCACTCTCAGTGGTGCCAAGGTGGAGCCTGCCTGCCAAGAGGGGACTGGGCAGGAGGGATCCCTCACCCCCACTTAGGCAGGCACTGGTCCCACTCCTCGGGGAAGGAGCCGGGGGAGGAAGCCTTGAGTCCTCAGCTGCAGCCCCTGGAGCAGGGTCTCTGCAGTGGAAGCATGTTTTGTCTTTAAAGAGACATTATGAACTCACGGAGGTAAGGATATTTGATGTGTTTCTTCCGGTTGTAGTTCTTGTTCACAGTCCACTCCAGCTGTCTTGCCCTTGACCGGCAGCTCCTTTCTGGGGTGCCTCCTGGGCCCAAGCTTGGTATTCCTCAATAGCTTCCTTGATCTCAAAAGACTGATCTAGGCTTTCAGTAAAGCTGTAGGTTTAGTAAATATGGTATATACATTATAGCTTACAACAGTACTTCTAATTCAAATTCAGGATTATGGGTTTTTAATGTCAATGCTCCCAAATCTACTTTTTCCCAAGTCAAAAAATTTCGGTTCTCAAAACTACTCAGGTCATTTGGCAATTGGGACATTTGAGTTGTTCTCAGTATTTAGTTATTAAAAATTTTACTGAATAAACTGCCTTTTGGGTAAATCTTTTGAAGTATTGCAACGTGGGTTCAGAATGTAGTCCTAAAAGTGGGACTGCTCGGTCACAGGTATGTGCAGAAGTAACTTTGTTAGGTATTGGTAAATTCCCCTTCCTAGGGGCTGCAGCGTGCAGCACCGCCACTGACCACATGTGAGATGCCACTTCACACACAAAAGGGTGCGCCATCTAACCTTTGGGTTTTGTCAACTGGATGCAGAAGAACGGGTCTCTGTGCATTTTTATTTCTGTTTCTCTGAGTGAACTGAGGGGTCAGTTTCTGCCCCTCAGATGTTCTGCTTTGGCTAAGGTTGTGTAAAGGCAACACAGAAAGGGCATGGGTGGAAAAGTGAATTGGGGTGAAAATTCATACCTAGTAATTTTTAACAATCTATTTTTCTAGTAATTTATTTTAAAGTGGTCCTAGATCATAGATCTGCAGTCATATGGCAGAAACAAATATTCATTTTTTTAGCTAGAACCTAGACATGTCAGAGAAACTCCAGTGATAAATTCCAAGAAATACAAACTCACAGCCAAAACTCATAAAGTTCCCCAGGAAACTAGGCAGCATGAGTGAGGCAGCAGAAAGAAGGATGGAGGGGTCAGACCCACGACTTCAGATACTGGTGCTATCAATCAGAGAATGTACAGTAAGTTCAATATGTTTAAGAAGAATGAGTTGAAGAGAAGATTAACAAAAGCTACAAAAGTCCAGCAAGTTAGAAAAACAACACAGCGCTTAAAAGAACTGAGAATCATAACTCTGGAAATTAAACACTGTAAATGAGTTCAACAACACATCTGCTAGCAGCTGATAAGGAAATCAGTGAACTGAAAAATGGATCTTGAGCAATTACCCAGAATGTAGCAAAGACAGATAAGGGACAGGAGACAGGGAAGGGCTGTTAGAAGGCGGAGCGAGGGCGTCTGATGCATTTTCTGGGGCTTTAGGAGGAGCAGGAACAGAGAATGGGGCAGAGGTGCCAACTGAAGAGAGAAAAGCCCAGGTTCAGAACACCCTCCGTGGAGCAGGCAGGGTGATGAGCGCCTTTGCCGGAAGCACCAGCGGAGCCACGGCAAAGCACGGAGGAGACGAGCCACCCTCGGGCTGACGAGCGAGCACAGCGCTGCCGGGGCCGCAGGGCTCTGCGGGGCGCAGAGGGGCCAGACCAGCACCCGCTGACCGGGCCAGGCCCCAGGCCCAAGCGCCCAGCGAGAAGGGCCAAACGGGCCCCTGAGGGGACGGGCCCCAGAGGACAGCCAGCCGGTGGGTCCCCGGTCCCAGGCTCAGCGGGGCAGGCCTGCACCGCCAAACCGGGGCCAAACCGGCCACCTGCCCGGCCACGTCCCTCTGGCTCCACAGGCCTTGCAGCCCCGCCCAAGGCCGAAGTCTCCCCCGAGCGCAGGCACGAGGGCCGCGGGCATCCCCCCAAAATTAGGAAGAGCCCCCGGGGACCTGTCAGCCCATCGCCCCCTCTGAGAAGTGGCCACTGAGGACGAAATCCTCACTGTCACCCAGCACAGAAGGACAACCGTTTACTTCATGTGAATGAAGACCCTTTACTCCACACGTCTCAAACTATTCACAGCACTGAAGGAAAACCATTTACCCCACGTGTCTCCGAAGGGCATTGTGAGGGGTGCTGGCTGCTCTCTGCACTCCAGTCACCCACAAGGGATCCCTTCCCGGATCCCATGCATCCCCCACGGCCTCGGTCAGCTGGCTATTCACGGCCTGGGATGAGCAGGGCAACGGGCGGGCTCCGCCGTCACAGGCGCTTGCTTTTCTTCTTGGTGCTTTTAAATCCTCGAGAGGCACCCTGCCCGAAACAGATGGTCGATGGTATCCTGAAACAGAAAAACGTCCACACAAAACTGCTATGGTTTTGCCCACAGATGGCGCAATGCAGCGGCAGTCTCCTGGGGCCTGACTCATGCTCCGAATGCTCCCTCCTCCCCAGCGGACCTCAGGGCGGCCATGGGCTCTTCAGGTGGGAGCTCCGCTCGGGCACGCTCCGCCCCCTGTGCCCGCCCCCCGTGGAGCCTGAGCCTCCCACCTCCCCAGCTCACTCAGGCCAAAGTGACTACACCCGCGGGCAGGCTGCGGAGGGCCTCCAGGTCCTCCCAGACGGGGTAGGCTTGTTGGTTGTTTTTTCCATTTCTCCAACATTGACCCCCAAATTAGACTTGAAATCAAATTAACCCAACAAAAACACCATTAACACTAGAAAGACAGGCGGTAGGTTGTACCCCGGGCAGTCACATCCTGCATCTTTCCATCCCCGCCCAGGCCACGGTCAGAGGAGGCTGTGCTCCCAGGGCCCCAGGTCACCGAGGGCAGCAGGGTGGTCAGGCTTTTCATCTCCCCCTGAAGCCAACACTCCAACCCAGTGCGGCTTCTCTCAGTGGGGACGCTCAGAGTCAAACCCAGAATTCTCCAGAAGCACAAGTTCAGAACCTGGTTCAGAAAGAGGCCAGGTACTGACCTGTGGCCGTAGACCCGCCTCTCTCTTGGAGGTCCTGGGTGGGCCTCTGCGTGCTCAGAGCAGACTTCCATGGCCTCTCCTTCCGAGGGTGCCTGGTCCTCCCCCACGGCTTCTGTCGACACCTGCGAGGCTGGGCTGGGGAAGACAGGCTGCGGGCTCTCCCAGGGTCAGCTCCTGCAGCCCCACCTTCCCTCGGGAGTGAACGCGCAAAGCTATTTTGGCTGTTTTGTCAGAGTAATTCCAGTCTGTTTATGGCTGTTTTGTTAGGGTAATTCCAGGCTACTGGACTTCCAGGACAAATAGAGGTAACTTAATGTGACATACACCACGTTTTATGAATTTAGGTACAACAGTCACACTTCATCTTTTAAAATACTACCTTTATGATGTCATGTGGTAAATGACTATCAACAATACCAAGTGTCTTTCCATAATAACTGAGAAATTCACTAAAGCCAGCCATACAATACTGAGCTTCTCCTCCTTAACACCACTGTCTCAATCCAGCACTGCATGATTTTTTTCTCCTTAAAATGATTCCTTGGAAAGGAAGCAGTTACCTCATACTCAAAGTCTTAGAAAAATCTCCCATATTGAAGTGGGTTCTCCTGATTATTCTACTTTGAACAGCAAAGTCCTATCTGGGGACAACAATTTAGTCTGAAATGATTTCAATCAGGGCAATCTTTAGATGGTTACAAAGCTTTCCCTGAGAAGGTCAGTTAATGAAAAAGCAAAGAAAACACGAACTTAAAGGCAGTTCCCAGATGCACTTTCCACAGTGCATTCTGAACAATATTACACAGCTCTGTCGTCAAGCTTGTAAATGTACTGATAGGACAAATGAAAAGCCAAAGGACTCCATGTGTGGGAAACGGCTCACGGGCTGGGACAAACCCCCGTGGGGCCCATGTGAGGACGGAGGAGAGGTGATGGGGCAGCGGAGGCAAAGCGTGAGCGCAGAGGGACGCCCAGCAGACCCTGTGACGGCACCCCGGTCACCGCCCACACAGACCCAGGAAGGCAGCTTCCCCCCTTCTTGTCCTCCTTGCAGACAGAATGGCCACGTACAAAACCACCTCCACCTGCTCAATCCCTCTCGGCTTAGTAACTCCTGACTCACAGGGTTAACCCACAACTAAACGTGACGTTAAGTGACAGGAGTGCTGCACGAGGGCGTCCACACCCTCTGAGTCTGCACACTCTCAGGCCTGCTGAGCTCAGGAGGCGGCTTCCTCGGACACCACCACATACCCTCTGCCCTTCCTCGGTTTATCAAAGCGGAAGTCTGCAGGGTAGAGGTGATGCACCACCAGGTGCTCCTTGCGGTCTCTGCTGCTCCTGAACTTCTCCGTGCAGCCCTCCACCAGGCACTGGTACTACAACAGAAAGTGTCACCACCCTGACGCTGGGACCACTGCCTCACCCAGTCGGGACCCCAGCCTCTAGCACCATGAGGCACACGGCTCGGGGACAAGCCCTGTGATGACTGCCCTTGGCCTCAGTGGGTGAGCATCACTCACCATGTCCTGCCGCTCGGCCAGGATCTGGAACAGTGAGTCGTGCCACTCCAGGATGTGTGTGTCCAGCAGGTGACCAGAGGGGAAGGCCCGCTTACAGTAGGAGCAGACGTTTCCGTGCAGAGTGTGGTAGTGGTGCTCATAGTCCTCCAGGGCGTCAAACACCTGGCAGCAGCCAGCCACCTGACAGGTGAACTCAGGCACCCTGGCAGAAAAACGCCTGGTGGGAATGCAATTCCTCGGAGGACAGGACGTCAAGCTCTCTGTCACCACTCCCCTTAAGTGGCTGCGGATAAAGTTGATAAAGCTTCGGATTTTCTCTTGCAAGCTCAAGCCCTGCCTTCATTACAAATACATCTTCACGGACAAGCAAGGTGGTGGCGAGGCCAGCCATGCTGGCTTCGTTGGTGGTCCAGGGCAGACACCAGGGAGGGGTGAGCAGAGGGAGGGGTGAGGAGAGGGCAAGAAGGGCCCTGAGTTGGGTCACAGAACTCACCTGGGCCTCTCTGGCTCCGCAGCCACCTGCGTAATCACATCCTGGAGGTAGAGGTGCCTCTGCACGTCCCCGTCCTGCAGAAGACAGCTCTGCGGGCTCACCTCGGCCCGCTTGGGGCCCTGCCCACCCGGGTCGGGGCCCCGCCCCTAGGGCCCCGGCCCCTGCTCCGGTTCGGGCTCCGGCGCGCGGCTGTGGTGAGTCGGCCTGGGGGCGACTCTCCCGCGGGTGGCTCGGGTCCCTTTCCCGGCCCCGAGCACTGCAGGCTCCTTCCAGCCCTTGTCGCCGTCGCGCTTGCCCACCGCCTCGCGTCCCGCCGAAGGGCTGCTGCGGCCTCCGCTCCGGCCTTGGCCCCAGAACACAGCCCGAGTGGTCTCCGGGAGATGCACGGTCCGCTGTGTCGCTCTGCTCTGCAGAGCCCTCGGCGCCCGGCAGCTCAGTCTCTGTCACCGGGGTCTGTGGGTCCGTTGGCGGCGGCCAACAGGGAGAAGCACTCGGGAGCGTCAGCAAGATGACCTAGGTGCTCTTAGAGCTGTGTTGAGCGGGGCGCTGCCGCACTGTGGAGGGGGGGGTTCGGTTGGTGTTTGGCCCCCCGGCCTCTTGCCCAGGGAGTATCAGGAGCACCCTTCTAGCGAGGCCACAGCCAGAAGTCCTCCCAGGGTGGTGCTGCCCGCCGGTGAGAGCAGCAGAGCTCGCGGGAACTGTTCCTAAACCCAGGCTCCTGGGAGTCTCAGTACTTGTGATGTGGAACGTCTGCTCTGTTTCTCCCACAGGTGTGAGGTTTCACGAAGGTAGTTTTTACATAAACGTTTGCTTACATGAGCTTTTTTCACAACAGCCCCGTCCACCCGCTTGAGTCTCTTCCTGGTGGCAAATGCAGTGACCTTGCCATCTATGTGTCCAAAGTGATCCTCAGGCTCGCTCTTATGGGACACCCCCAGTCCTAGGGAACCTCTTAGAATGTGGGTAAAAAAAGCTCTTGGAATTGAAGAGGCCCCGGGAGAGCTCTGTGCTGTCTTTTCTGGTTTGCTTGTCATTTCCAGTGCCTCCTTCCTGCCTTCTGTGACTGGTTACAAGGTAACCGTGGTTTAGGGTGCTGGCTCTGATTCATGGCCAGTTTTCCATTTCTCAGGTAACAGCCATTTCCAGTGATTGGCCATGTGCAGCAGCAGCAGTGTTCATTTCTGTTCTTTTGATAGCGACAGTGCAGGCTCTTAGGTGCCATATTAAATCTCCACAACAGCTTCATGAGTAGGACCTAGTACTCACCCCCTTTCGGAAGAAGCTTACAGAGGACAGGCTTTTTGTCCAGGGTCCTACAGCCTGGAAGCCCCAAGTCAGGGTTCAGCCTCAGCCCCATGACCGTGGTCCTGTGAGCACCTCCTGATGTGAAAAGTACATGTGCTGGTGACTTACATGCCTGCTCACCCTTGCTGTTGGCTTTCTTGTCTGGAGATACTCTGCTTCTGGCCAGTGTTGGATGTCTCTGTCCGATGACTGATGTTCGTGTACTGGGAACTTGTTTTCTGTCACTTGGAGTTAGAGTCTCTCTCTGTGTGGTTACAAATCAACATTCACACTGTGGGTATGTGTGCTGAGGCTCCCCCAGCTGATGTTTCTCTCATAGCTTGTCTTCACTGGAGCTATTGACACAGTGGTTCTGATCTTAGGGTCATGGAGTCTTTGAGGATCTGTTGAAAGACCTCCTCATAAAAATCAGAAATGACCTTGTCTGTAATTTCCAAGAGTCTCCTGTGGTTCATGATCCCAAATTATGAACCCTGCGTAGGTATGTCCAAACGTTTATGTGAAGCACGTAAAGCCTGCTCGTGTTTGTCTTTTGAATCTAGTTGTCTGTCGTTGTCTTAGTGTTAATGATAATGGCTAACTGGACCGGTCATCAGTGGGAGAACAGAAGTCCTCATGCAGGCCACCACTGTCTGCTTGGCGGGATCTCACTTACAGTTTTGACCCTGGAAGGCTATATATACAGTGAGAAGACGTTCGGATATCTGCTTGACAGGTGGAACTGAACGGGAAGCCCACCCAGCTACAGTGCATGGTGGACATGACACCTGGCCTGGGCGAGCAGAGGCAGCACCTTGGTTCCCAGAGCGGCGGCCGGGGCCTTGCGGCGGGAGCCGGGGTGGGAAGTGGCTTAGGCCTGTGCAGGGCTCCCTGTGTGATCAGGACCCCTGAAGGGCAGGGGTCGCTGTGTCTGCGCAGCTGGGGCTAGAAGGTGTTGGCCGCCAGCCGAGGGAGCAGCTCCCAGAGGAAGGAGGCCCAGGTCTTCAGGCCGAATCTGCTGTCTGTGCGTGTGCCAGCCCCCAGCGGAGGAGCAGCCTGGACGCTGGCCGCAGCTGCTGAGGCTCTGAGTCAGGGCTCCGATTCCCCCAGAGCTGCCCACTGAGACAGCCCCCACCAGCAGGGGGCGGAAGAGCCTCCTCAGGAAGGGGCCCCACGGACTGGTCAGCGCAGGCTGTGGTGGGGCCTGCCTGGGGAGCCTGTGGGCCAGCCAGGCTAGCCCATGTGACAGTTTGGCTTCTCAAGAGGTGACATTAGCCTAATTTGATTGCTTTAAGCTTTTTTTATTTATAGGGATTTGTTTTTATAAATGGCTTGTCTCTTACCTTTAGGGGACACGTTGTAATGTCTCAGAGCCAAAATCATGAGTGAATTTCGGATTCACCATGATGTCAATGAACTGCTCAGCCTCCTGCGGGTGCATGGGGGAGATGGAGCCGAGGTCTACATTGATCTGTTGCAGAAGAACAGGACCCCGTATGTCACAACCACAGTGTCTGCACACAGCGCTAAGGTGAGTGCCGCCCCAGGGCTGCGTGGGCGAGGTGGTCCTGCCCCCAGGGCTGTGTGGGCGAGGTGGTCCCGCCCCCAGGGCTGTGTGGGCTGAGGTGGTCCCGTCCCCCAGGGCTGTGTGGGCGAGGTGGTCCCGCCCCCAGGGCTGTGTGGGCTGAGGTGGTCCCGCCCCCAGGGCTGTGTGGGCTGAGGTGGTCCCGCCCCCAGGGCTGTGTGGGGCAGAGTTGACCGTCCTCACTGGGTGGCCGCAGCGGTGCCGTCTGATGTTGGATGCTCTCTGTGGACCGAGTCTCTGCCCAGCTCTGCTCCAGTGGCTCCTCACAGCTGCCCTCCCCCGCCGGGTGCACTGATGAGAGAGTGAAGGCTTGGGGAGCGCTGCACCGGCAGCCTGACCTCCGTCTGGAGGCCCACATGGTCCTGGTTTCTGTTCACATCATGGCACAGATTCTCTTCTGGGTGGAAAAGCAAGCTCCCAGCTTTAGCCATGTTGAAATCCTTATAAAGTAGATTTTTAAAAATTTGATTAATGTGCAATTTAAAATCATAGATTTTCTGTAAAAGACAATTTTGAAGTCTATCTTAAAAACACTGTTGGAACTTTCCTGGTGGTCCAGTGGCTAAGACTCTGCACTCCCAGTGCGAGGAGTTCAATCCCTGCTCAGGGAACTAGGCCCCACATGCCACAACTAAAGATTCCGCCTGTCTCAGCTAAGACTGAGCAGCCAAGTAAGTAAATATGAATATTTAAAACAAAACATCATGAGAGTTCATTTATTTTGACAGCCTAATGATGGTACAAGGATAACTCAGAAAACCTACTGAGTAGAATAGAATTTGAAAACACACAGTTGCATCTACTTTATTATAAAGGAGGGGCATACTGATCAGTGAGAACACATAACTCCTGAACCTGTGGGTAGTGATGAATTCCAGAGGGAATAAAATTAAATGTGAAGAATGAATGCATTAACTACTAACAAAAACATGTGGTTGTAAGTTGCTTAGGAAGGATAAAGTGAGGGACCCACAGAAGAGATGATGGCAAGTCTGACAAATTGTTTCTTAGTTTTATTTCAGAGATGGATGAATATTTCATCTCCTTAACTTCATTCTAGGTTTTTTTGCGGGGGAGGTTAGTTATTTCACAGCCTTGTAAAGTTCCTGGTTATGGTCTCTAAATCACTCCAAATATGCTTTTGAGGTTAAAATAGCAGAATTTTCTCGTACTCCTGAGGACTTTCTGAAGAAATACGATGAACTGAAATCTAAGAACACGAGGAACCTGGACCCCCTGGTGTACCTGCTCTCGAAGCTCACAGAGGACAGGGAGGTGCGTGCCGGGCAGGGGCGGAGCCTGTCTGAGTCTGAGGGCTGGGTGGACGGATGTCCTGCCTGGCCCGTGTTCTCTCCTGTTCCCTGGTGGTGGCCCCTTGCTGACCGTCAGCCTCAGGCCCGCGGTACTGAGATAACTCGTGCACCTGAGCGGCAGTGGCTCCTGACGGTGATAAGCACGAGGAGTGTTCCCGGTGACCTACGGGGCTGAGGGACTGTGTCCTCTTAAATCGAGTGTGTGTCAGTCGTGCACTGAGACGTGCACGTGGAGAGTGTGAGCTGTGGCCCCCGGGTGTGCGGGGCTGGTCAGTGCTCCCTCTCGAGCCACAAGGCCCAGGGTCTGTTCAGGGGACCTGGTGGCCCCACGCCGGGACCCTCGAAGGGATGTGGTCTCGCACAGCAGGGGAGGCCGGCCACGTGCGGAGAACAGGCCGAGCTACGGGAAACGGGTGTGGGGTCCTGGCAGCTCATGGCGCGCAGCCTGAGGAGACCAGGCTGCAGCTGCAGGACCTGCAGGCCGAGCTGCGGGAGTGCGGCGGGGCGGCCGTGCCCGGCGGGGGTGCCCCTGTGCGGCCAGCGTGATGCTGGGGCCCCGTGCTTTCAGACCCTGCAGTACCTGCAGCAGAACGCCAAGGAGAGAGCTGAGCTCGCGGCCAGCGCTGCAGCCAGCAGCGCCGCCAGCTTCGGTGCCCCCGCCACGGCCTCCAAGATCTCCATGCAGGAGCTTGAGGAGCTGAGGAAGCAGCTGGGGAGCGTGGCCACAGGCCCCACGTGGCAGCAGGTGAGCAGGGGGCCACGGTGTTGGCGTGTGGAGACTTGCCTGGGGGTACCGGCTCTGGGATGGGGTCCTGGGCCCCGGGCGAGAGGTTCTGGTCAGCCCTGGGGGCGGGGGGCGCCTGCTGCCCCTTGCACTGTAGGCTCGGCCAGCATGGACCCCGGCTCTGTCTCCCTCGGGCACGTGGGCAGCTGGTTTGAGGTGATGCTCTATCTCCCTCTCTTCTTGCTCCTCTGACTCTGTCTCCGGCCCTGGTCGGCTGTCTGGGTGTCTCCCCCTATCTTGTTTCTGGGCCTTCGAGCCCCTCAGAGCCACACCCTGAGGTCTGAGCCGCAGGCCCATGCGGGTTGGGCACGTTCTGTGTCCAGCACCTTGTGGCTCCTCACAGCTCCGCCCCCGCCTCAGTCCCCTCCCCCCCGGTGCTTTTAGAAGCGGGGCACTCTCGGGGACCACGTCTCCCTGCTTCAGCCCAGGGGGCCCAGGTGTGGGCACGCCTTCTCCGGCCCAGCTCTCACTGGGCACTTTGCGTAGTGGCAGCTCGGGTCCACACCGGGGACCAGGGGAAGCTGTGAGGGTGCGCTGAGGGGCCTGGGGGCCTGTGTGCTGGACGGGCTTCTGCTTTACCTTGGGCCCTGCTGCCTTGGCCCCGGCCCCCTCGCCGTGATGGGCCTGGACGTGTGTTTTGCTTCCATGTGTGTTTGCTCCTCACACGTGCTCAGGGATGTGTCTGTTCATATGGTAGGTGTGTTAACTTTTAAGTGTTTCTACTGAAGGTGTGTGTTTTCTTTCTGTCTTTAAAAACCCCGCCACCAGTCTCTGGAACTCACAAGAAAGATGCTTCGAGACAAGCAGAACAAAAAAAACTCAGGGCAGCGCCTCCCAGTCTTCCCTTCGTGGGTGTACGAGAGGCCCACGCTGCTCGGGGACTTCCTGGCCGGCTCGGGCTCGAGCACAGACGTGGCCGTGCCCATCGGTAGGCGGAGCACAGCTGGGATGGCGGGGCCTCGCCGGGACGGGGCGGCCGAGCTCCTCGGAGGCGCTGGGCGGTGGTGTCGCGCTGCCCTCGGCCACGCGGTAGCACGCCATGCCCGCTGGTAGGCGGAGCACAGCTGGGATGGTGGGGCCTCGCTGGGGCAGGGCGGCCGAGCTCCTCGGAGGCGCTGGGCGGTGGTGTCGCGCTGCCCTCGGCCACGCGGTAGCACGCCATGCCCGCTGGTAGGCGGAGCACAGCTGGGATGGTGGGGCCTCGCTGGGGCAGGGCGGCCGAGCTCCTCGGAGGCGCTGGGCGGTGGTGTCGCGCTGCCCTCGGCCACGCGGTAGCACGCCATGCCCGCTGGTAGGCGGAGCACAGCTGGGATGGTGGGGCCTCGCTGGGGCAGGGCGGCCGAGCTCCTCGGAGGCGCTGGGCGGTGGTGTCGCGCTGCCCTCGGCCACGC